ACCATCCCTTCCCTCCCACCTCCCCAACTCCTCCCACTCCCTGGGAATTGTTTTTAATGTACTTACAATGTGCTATGTGATTTTTTTGTTTCTTTTGTATGTTCTTTTCCCACTGTATAGCCACTGTTTTCACTGTATTTGATTCTAGTGCCCTGCATCTTGTATATACATTTTTATAATTTGAGGAGGAAAATAACAAAATGATGAAATAAGGATACAGGTTGACCCATTGTAACAATGGGATGTACAAGACACTGTGTTGAAAATATATTTTTAATATATAATTAAATCTGAAAAGTACACTAATCTTGTAAGTGTACAGCTTCAATGTTTATGTTTGACATGTTAATACATGATTGTATTTAACTTCCAAATCAAGCTACAGCATATTCTAGCATCTTGTAAGATTCCATCCTGAAGCTTCCCAATTCATGCACCACTATCCACCACTCACAATATTTCTGAACACATTATGGGTATTTCCCTCACATTAAGCAATTTTCCACATACCAGCTGGTTCTCCTATAATTAGTATGGTACCACCTACCTGGAGTTAGTACACATACCTCATGAGTCTGCCATTTCTAACACTAGTTGTAAAATCCAAATTGCAACATAAACTTTGTCCTATTATCTATAAATTGGGGCTCCCATGGCCTTTTCCTTGGGTTTTATAATTTTTTAGAATGTTTTACAAACTCAGAAAATCCAAGCATGGTTTCCAACACTTGTAATCCCCGTATTTGGAATGCTGAGGCAAGAGGATCCTGAATTCCAAGCTGGCTTGGCCTCACAGCAAAATCCTATCTTAAAAAAAAAAAACAGCCAGACATTAATGGCTCAAGTCTGTAATCCTAGCTACTCAAGAGGCTGAGATCTGAGGGTCACAGTTTGAAGCCAGCCCAGGCAGGAAAGTCCATGAGACTCTTATCTCCAATAAACTACTCAGAAAAAGCCAGAAGTGGCGCTGTGGCTCAGGTGGTAGGGCATTAGGGGTACTAGTCTCAATCAAAAGAAATTCAAGGACAACACCCAGGCCCTGAGTTCAAGTCTGGGACCAACAGAAGGAAAAAGAAAGAGAGGGGCAGGGGAGAAGAGGGAGAAAGAAAGAGAAAAAACCCTCAGGAATGTGTTTCCCTTACAATGACAGTTTATGTAAAGGATCCAATAGGACAAGCTACAAGAACAGCAGAGAGGTCTTTTACCACTTTATGACCCTTATCTGTGTCTAACAGGGAGCTCTCCAAACCCTATCATTTAGGGATTTTTATGCAAGCTTCTTTGGCATGCACAATCAGCCAACTCATTGGCCAGTGAGGACTAAGTGTGCTCTCCAGTTCCTCTTCGTTCCTTGGAGGTAGAGGGGAACTAAAAGTTCTAACCTCCTAGTCATACAGCTGGTTTCTACATTAACCTCCCCCCTTTCTTAAAGAGCCACCTTATTAGTATGAATTTACATACAAGTGAAAGTGGTTTATTAGGAATAACCATGTTAGCCAGTTTTTCTCAATGCTATAATACATGACATTGTCAACTTCTGGGAGAAACTTTATTTTAAACTCATAGTTTCAAAGGTTTTAGTTGATAATCACTTAGTCCCATACACTTGGGCATAAGAACATGTCAGTAAGAGAGTGTGGAGGAAGAGTTTCTTCTTCTCATGGCAGCCAGGAAGCAGAGAAAAAAATAGAGAAAGGCTGGGAAAAAATACAGCCCCCAGGGCCATATGTCAGTGACAAACTAATCTCTCCTAGGCCCCACTATTCTACTTTTCACCATCTCCCAATAATGCCATCATATTAATGAATCCATCAAGGAATTAATTTATTGATTAAGTCTGAGCCCTTATAATTCAATCACTTCCCAAAAGCCTATCTTTAGGCAACCAAGCCTGAACCTGTGTGACAATATATAAACCAGAACACTAACAAAGCACATTCCTCTTACCCCATCCTTCAAAGAATCTAATGGCTTTAGGAACCCTATAATAGAAATCAGGGATAAAGACCAAAAACATAATTTTATTTTTTAAATCTGATTTTAGTAAAAATTTGAGTGTTGTATGACTTTTTTTTTTTTTTTGGGGGTCCGATCATGGGGCCTGAACTCTGGGCCTGGGTGCTGTCCCTCAGCTCTTCAGCTCAAGGCTAGTGCTCTACCACTTGAGCCACAGCGCCACTTCCGGCTTTTTTCTTTTTGCTTATGTGGTGCTGAGGAATCGAACCCAGGGCCTCAGGCATGCAAGGCAAGCACTCTACCACTGAGCCATCTTCCCAGCCCTGTTGTATGACTTTTGTTTCCTATATAGCCTTCTGAATTTTGTGTCAGATAACTTGTATTTGAATAACAAAGGCCTCCAGTAGTTCACAATATTAGATAATAAGAAATTGTTTAGCAATGAGCTGAGGTTTGGAAGACAGGCAGTGTTAACAAGGGTTCTTCTTCCCATGTGGAGTTTAGAGTAAAGTAAATATGTAAAACACCTTGGAGGCCAAACATAGGACAGTAAAACCAATTAGGAGGATCTTGACATAATCTAGGCAAGAAGTGATGGAGATCAGACCTAAATACAGAAGTACAAAAATGGAGAAGAAAAAGGAGGACTTTAATTTAGATTAAGAAATTGGTCACTAATGGACTAGGAAGAAGCTCAAGAAGGAGATAAGGAAATTGAAGAATATGCTTGTCATGCAACCAATGGATCTTTTTCTACCTTTTTTTTCTCCTTGGAACAAATCTCTGATTGATCTATGGATGGGAATGGAAACTGCATACCCATTATCAATATCTATGAAAATAATTCATTTTTCCTTTTAGGATGTAATGTTGCTAATCTGCCAAGTGTTGTGTTGATCTTGAAGAGCAGTGCCACAATGAGTGCTCTGCAGAACTCTGCCCTGGTCTCACTGCTGACAGGCTAGACATCCAGAGGTGGAAGTAGCCAGATCAGCCCTGGAAAGTTTGAGTCAAGGCTATTGACACTCTGCATAGCCTCCGTCTCTGACACCGTGACCACTTCATTCGTGTGACTATTGTGCCAGTTCTGTGGTGAATGTAGCCAAGGGCTGACTAACATCAATTACACATGATTTTGAGGTAGAAGGCTTTGAAGATGCTAGCAGATAATTCCACAAAATCTCCACACTTCACAGCCACCTCCATCATCCATCTTTATGCAGCTCCCTCAGAGGTCCTTGTTTCAGATAATCTAGTCCTTTTCTTTACAAGCCCCTGAACAAACTGGATAGGTTATCAACCAGTATTCACAAGCACACATGCATATGCACGCACGTGAGCACGCGCACACATGTACACACACACACACACACACACACACACACATACAGGGCTATTTCACACACACATACACACACACACACACACAGGGCTATTTCTCCTTTCACAAAAAGCAGATGCTAAAAGCTCTGCCCATGAGGAAGATTGTCCTTTGCTACTGTCTGAAGGCTTGCCCTGTTGCCCAATTTGCATCCAAATCTGAAGGCTTCTATACCCCCAACTTCTGCTTCCTTTCTCTTTTGTCTCTCATGGGATTACTCCTTCCCCTTCTCAATAAACCTCTTCCACTCTTCATTCATCTCAGCATCTGATCTCCAAAGACCTCAGCTGACATCTCTATACATATGGAGGAGTGGAGGGCAATAGAGGAGAATCTAGATACACGTGGAGGGTGAGGCTATGTGGAGAGAAGTATGCTAACCTCTTTATGCCAGGAGACAGGTGATACGAACTACAAAAGGAGAGAGAATTTGGAGTAAGGGCAGATGAAAGCACTAAGTCTTCTCCTCTACCCTGGAGGGTTTGGGGGAAATTGGGTGAGGTCTCCAGATTTCCCACAGGAGGTTTTACAGGAGATTGATATCATTGTATTTAAGTACTAAAGAAAAGATATCCCTAAAGGATGGAGAATTCATATCACATTGGATATTAAGTATATTCTCAGGAAGTGTGTGAGAAATAAGGAGACAAAGAAACACATTAACCAAAAGTTTAAAATGTAGGTCTGAATTCCAATGCTGCTGTCCTGAATTCCAACTCTGCTATCTTGTATATCCGTGGTTAATTTTTGGTTTACCCTTTTGAGATTCATCTGAGAAATGATAATAATAAAAGGAATTGTCTGAAATAAGTAAGGTGAGTTTAACATAATACAATCTTTACAAAATATTTAATAGTTTCTGGTCCAGGCTGAATATGTTATTTTGCTATATCTTAGGAACCTCACCTATGTCGAACCTCAAAATGACAAAGTGAGCACTTAGCCTCAGAAGAATTGCAAGCATGCGATTCATACAAATTGGACCCTCTTCTCCCTTGCAAACAAACTTACCAGTCCCAATATAATGAACGTTTTACTTATCCCCCAGGGAAGACAAATTATATTAAAGAAGCAAGACAAGGATTCCTAATAATTCTTTGTCCATAGATATAGTACTGTCATAATGGGGTAGAACCGGTAATTAAGAAAACTTCCACAAAGAAGGATTGATTTACGAAATGCATTAGAAAGTAGATAGGGTTTCTACCCTACGTGAGCCACCTGACATATTCAATAACTCAATGTTGTAAACAGTTCTACTGAACTCATGGGATAGTGTTTCATCAGCCCTCATTTACATTTGTAGTCATGCCACCATCAGAAAGGAGAAGACTTCTAAATCACTAACACCCTATTCAAAAGCAGTGAGAGGAAGTTCACACATTTACTTCCTGATTTTAATATTTTCTGTTTGCAGCTGTGCTACGACAAGAGCAGTGATGTTGGCACTGTCAAAAGTAGAGAATAAAGAGGAAATGTGTAAAACCCAACATAAGACTATAGGAAAACCCCATGCCCCATCTCAAGATGGGCTCTTGTCTTGTTTCTAATTACCTACTCTCCTTTGTGAAAAGATTCCATTCTCTGAAGAGCAACTTCATATCAGAGGTGAAGCATGTCTCCCCAATCTTCAGGAATTCTTCCTGTGAGCTGCCATGGTTGATGATTACCTTCAAGACAGTCCAGGCCCAAAGTGGCCCAAAGACCTGCAAGCAGGGGCTGTGTGAAAGTATGTAAGCTTTCCCACCTCCTTGAAGTCCTACTATGTAGTAGTAACGTAGTCTGACATTTTATTATGTGCCAGGAATTGTCCTATCCTTACATCAACCCTGAGTAGTAGTAGTTAAATACCCATTTTGTTGATTCACACCATAGGCTAGGTAAAGTAACTGGGCTGCAGTAACTAACCTGCCTCTCAGTGAAAATTTCTTGAACTTAACTTCTGGGAGACTCATTGTCAATATTCTTTCTTCAAACTTTTAATATTGTGGCTGAACAATACTCTCCTTCATACATGCTTTTTTCCTACTTCTAAAGCAACTATACATTCTTTTTTAAAGAGATTAAAAAGCATGAGTGGCTCATGCCTGTGGTACTAGCTACTCAAGAAACTGAGATCCAGGGGATCTAGATGGAAGCCAGTCCTGGAAGAAAAGACCATAAAAATCTATCTCCAATTAACTAGCAAAATGTCATACTGGAGGCACGGCTCAGCCTAGCTGAGTTAGCCAGCTGAGCAAGTTCTATTTTTTGGCCCCAGCACCACAAAAAAAAACTATTAACAATTTTCAAAAGTCTAAAAATAAGTTAAAAAGTAAAGCAAATGAAATACATCTACACAATACACTCTTTGACAGGAACATACAGCTTATTTTCTGACAGTTTTGTGCCCCATATACTTCATATGGCATGCATCCTCTGATGATCTGGCCAAAGTGTACATTCTGAGACTCAAGTTGGAACCCAGATTCCTCATTTCTAATCAACTCCCAGGGTTGCTGTTGCTGGTGTGTGGATGATATTTTTAACTTCACTGCCGTATCTTTAGGCTTTGGCAAGCACATTAACATTCTGTCTACACCAGAATTGCTCAGTCCCATTCAACACACTTTGGCCTATCTGCCTCTTCCAGATTCCCTGCCCAGATAGCATACATATCCTCACTCTAGCAACACCTTCATACCTACTGTTAGAGTCTCCACAGCAACCTGGCTACTTAGGTCATTCTTACTAATTCCTTCATTCTTGATCTTGGATCACTGAGGACTCCTGGAGGAAGTTGCGAGGGCTGGCTACTCTGACCAGCAAGATGAGTCCCCAATATGATGGTGGGAAATAGTGTGGAACTTTAAGGGGTAGAGCCTAATGAGAAGTCCTTAGGTCATTAGGGTACTGTCTCAGAAGTAACTCATGTAGGTCTTGTGGGTCCCCTGAGCTCTTGAGTCAATTGTTATAATATTTGAGTCTGACCCCTGAATAGATTTCTCCTGCTTTCTGCCTGGCTATGTAACAAGTCCCTCTCAATCAAACTCCCACCATAGTGATCCACCATGAGGGCCTCACCAGTGCCAGTCAATGCTCATATTACTCTCTTGAATATCCAGAACTGTGAGCTAAGTAAACCTGTTCTTTTTTTCTATACTAGCCTGCCTCAAATGTTCCATTAAAGTCACATCAAACAGGCTAATACAGGGTCATGGGCTTTTATATCCATCTGTATTCTCCTGCTGCTTTCCATGGTCAACCCCTTACGAGACTGATTCAATCCTAAACCCTCTCTCACACCCCTCTTCCTCATGTCAATCCTAAACCCTCTCTCTCATGCCCCTCTTCCTCATGCCTCCTCTCCTCTTCAGCACGTTCCCATCATCTATGAACCATCCTCCTATCTTCAGTTATCCCATAGGTGAGGCATCTTTCACTTGGTTCTTACCCCCATCTCTACTGAAGTGGTTCAAATTAGATCATATGTAAGAAAAACAAAACCACTGATTCCCATACTCTACCACCCCCTACATCTTCACCTTACCCAGTCTCCCAACATCAGCAGAGAGGTTCTACCATTTATCCAGTAACTCCAGACATAAACCTAGGAGTCATCCTTCATAGCTCCACCATGTCCATCCATGAATAAATGGATGATTGATCCTATTTCCAGTTTCAACTCTTGCTCTCTGCAGCCCAATCTTTGCAGAGCACCCAAAGAGATTTTGAAAGTCATTGCGTGTTATCATGACACTTCTCTGCTTGAAATTCATTAATGCCATTCTCTGAATAAAATCCAGCTCCTTCTCTGCCTCTGTAATCTCTCCTATCACTTTTCCCCTGGTTTCTCAAGCACCAAGAACATTAGCCTTCTTCTGCTCCTTGAATATACAGTGCTCAACCTTGCCTTGAGGTCTATATATTTTATAGACTACAATATGTTTATTTTATGCTTCATTTCACTACCAAAATGGCATTGCCAATATTTAAAATTATCTTCATTGTTTATAGACTATCTTTCCCACACTAGAATGTAAGTTTGTTATGAACAGATTTATCTGACATACTTACCTAGCAATGAGCAAGCAACTGGTGGGCTCTCTTAACAGCAACTCTTAACAGCAAGAAAGTGATTTTCTGCTCTGTAACTCACTATAAAAGATTTTAGGAATGAATAGTCTATAACCACTTCACCCTTTTCACTACTATCCCCTTTTAGCTATACTTTGACTTCTTTCACCATTCCTCTGAAACTGCCCTCTTGAAGGTCGCCATGATGCCACCATGAACAAACCCAGCCACCTTCATGCAAGTCTCATTCTCCCTAACCTTCATGTTGTTGATACTGTTGACCACTTCCCTTTTCTTACAAAATCTCTCTTCTTTCTAGGCTTCTGAGTTTCTTCTTTGGGCTATAGTTGTACCAAACATTTTTGTTTGTTCTTTCTCCTACTACTGATCTTTACCTACAAATCCTACGAATTGTCCCAAAATACACCTCAGTCAGTTTTGTAATTCTACATATTTACTTTAAGGACTTTAGTTCTTACTGTTTGTGTTCATGAGTCCTTCAACTTCCATCCTACCTCCCTACTTTCAAACTGATGTCCCAAGCCCACTCTCACACTCTGAATTTTCTTCATTCTGTGAAGGAACTGCTCTTCTTAAAATTTCAATAGTATTCTTTAACTCTTATTATCTTATTCAGTCATCTTATCTTATCTATAACTTTCTTCCAAGAACTGGCTCCATTTATCTTTGTTCCTACTATAGACACAATTATTATCTCTCATATAAAATACAATACCCCATGACCTGACTTCCCCATTCCATGAATCACCTTTCTCAGGCTAGCTATACCCAAACCCTTTAAAATGGTTTCCCATCATCTATAAGAAAAAGATGTATAGCTTAAAAAAATCTTTATTCCTAGCCCCAATAGAGCCTCATGAAAGTTGTCTAGATGTATATTTAGACATATAAAGTAATAAAATTATCTTCTGATCTTAACTTACCTCATTTGTAAGTTAAAACAACCAGAAAATTACCTTTCTTGCATGTTAAGACATTGCCAATAAAGGAAAAGTCTACATAGTAATATTGGATGTGCCCTTTCCTTCTGAATTACTACTCAACTAGGGTCCAGTAAGGACAATGACTATCCTAGATTTCTGGTTGTAGGGTATGGAGATGAGGAGTCTACAGAAGAAAAATAAATATTCATGGGGATTTTAGACACAGTAAGTTCACTTCTGCTATTTTTCTTACTCCAAGCTAAATGTTATAAAATAGCTAGGACATTCATAATGCAGTAACAACTATCTCAAACTACAGTAGCAGAAAACAGCTCCCTTTTGTATCTCTTGTGGTTGGCTATGGATCTGGTTTTTGTTTTTATCATCTGCACCTTGGGACCCAGCCACTCTGAAAGTGAAATAACTGTCATGAACCACATAGTTCAATAAAATCATAAGCCACAAACTTGACAACCACACTTATAATTATACATTTTCTAATATCCACATTTTACACGGTCAGAAGAAACAGGCAAAGAAAATATTAATGATGCCTTTTGTGTAATGGAATATAATCAAAATAATGTTTTTAATATACATGTTGAAAATACATAATGTATATGCATAAATATATACAAATGTGAAACTATTTGTGAGGGTTTTTCTGCAATCATCTAGTCATTGGTAAGGAAAAGAGAGTTCTAGAGTATCTTATACCATGAAATGCCCAATCCAAAACTGAGCACAGTACAATGCCTCACCCCAAAGGGTGGGAGTTATAGTCCTAGAATAAGAACAGCAGACCTCTGAAAATGCATAGTAAATCTCCCTCAGGGCTGCCACATTTGCCTTCATGAGCAATATCTTCCAATACTAACAATAGTCACTGAAACCATCACGTTGACCAAGCCAGACTCTCAGGAGGTAACCAAGAATGAACCTGTTTTTCCCCTCTTCTGTATCACATTCAAATCAGCTCTCTGGAACTAAACCTTTCCCCATGGACTTTTAGAAACATCCCATCATACATTCCCTTCTCTCTCAGATCATAAAAATCCAGTCACTTCAAGTCACAAAACCATCTCAGCTTGACAACATTCCCTATGACAGTCTGATCCTCGTGTAGAATTAAGGAGGCTGGCTTCTGTAAATCAGACCTGTGAGTCTTCAGAAGCCTGCGGTAGCAGGGTAACTGACATGGCAAGGACCTCTGTCCTTGCTTGCCCTGAGCCTCTGTTGATGCTGCCTCCAGTGCTGCCAAGAAAGTGGTAGGATGGACACCAGTGACGGGTAAGGGGGCAGGAAAAGCCCTACTTCCTTGGCACCTGCCCTAGTGTTGGCTTCCTCTAAAACCCTCTCCTCAGTAGGTTTTGTGGGGGTTTAGAGACACCGCTCTGAGTTCCTGTTCTCCTTTGTCTCCAGAGGACCCATGTCATCCTTTTGTTGGGCTCAGACCCCTGCTCTCCAGGAAGGCCTCTTTTGAAGGATTTTTCTCCTGGCCCTTTCTCACCTGGCACCAGCATCACTGACATCCATGCATCCTTGCCCTACTGATAACTCAGGAGCACGGCCACCTCTCTTGCCTCTGCTTCCAGAACACCTGTCAGCCACAGCCTCTGGCCTTTAGGCTGTTTCTATCCTGGATCTACTGACATTCCTGGGGCAGCAGAGACTCCAGAAGACTTTCACTCCAGAGTGAAAGTCAGAGTCTTTCTGAAGCCTCCTGTTG